ATCTGATCATATGTCAAATATGCAGACCAGCATGTACTATGTAAGCATGGTGTACCTGCTGCTGGGGTTTAACTGTACGCTGAGCTTGGTGATGTATTCATGATAGAGGCGTTGGATATCTGATCATAGGTCAAATATGCGGACCAGCATTTACTTTGGTGGGTTCACTACAAAAGTCTTGGCCAATCGAAAGCTGCAGAACATCATTGAGCTAATGCCAAACAGAAGATGATCAGTGTGTTGGGGTGGGGGGGGGACGACGACGAAGAAGAAGAAGAAAAGAGGAAGAAGAAGAACAAGAAGAGGAAGATCAGGACCATGCTGATCAGAAGATGAAACTTTCTTAATTTTAAAATTTTCAAACTATTTTTGGGAAAGACAAGGAATCTTAGAGCTATGACTCCTTCCTGATCTGAGGAGAAACTAAGTCATATATGCTCATACTAAATACATTTGAACTTTGACGGTTTGACTTTGACCCTTTGTTGCTGTTTCATTCCAATGATTGATGGTTTTGCTTCCAGCCTCCCTCCACAACGGTTAAACAATGCTTTGTTCTGTAGAATGAAAAAGAAGCGTTGTATTGCTGAGGCTTTTTCCTTTTGTTCATAAGAAAGGTCCATGTCGTGGTAGAGGGGGGGTGCTAGGCCTTGGGAGGTGTCTGTCGCCGTGCTCAACCAGTGAGGGGATCGGATGGCTTGTGACAATCCCAAGGACAGTCTTCCTCCAGGGGGTGTCATTTGTGACCTGTTATATCCTAATCTCATCACAAGTCGAGCCCTACAGTGGTGCGACCGAGACCTCTCTATCTCGACCTAGACCTACACCTCTCTATCTAGACCTAGACCTACACCAACCCCCGCCTTCCCAATGATCACATTCAAGAGGAGTAAGTTAATAAAGTTCGCTTCCCAGCTCGCTTTGCCTTTCGGTATGTGTTCTGATTTGAGATCAGGAGGTTGCAGATTCGATCCCTGGAGTGGGCGATTCTGTCTCATTCAAGCGATTTGGCTTGCACTTGGAGGCAACGAATGAAAAGGAGAAAAGGAGAAAAGGAATGTTTTCTTGTTGATTGGGTTCTCCTTGCATGATATGCAGAAGTCAGAATTATAGTCTTTCTTGCCCAGTTTCTTCTCCCTCCCAATTTTTCATGATATGCAGAAGTCAAAATTATAGTCTTTCTTGCCCGGTTTCTTCTCCCTCCCCATTTTTCACTCCCTCTTCCCCCTCTTATCCAGTTATCCCCTCCCCCTCTTCATGCCCTCCTCCTCCCACTGTGGCCTTGTATTTCATTCAAGGACCAAACAGCAGTGACCCTGCCCTACACATCATTGCCTGCCATCCCCTCGTTTTTTGACTTCGACTCAGGGACCAGTAGTCCATACACATTGTTGGTCGTAAACATCGTTGCCTGGCATCCACTCGTTTTGACTTTGACTTTGACTGATGGTGGTGTGCAGCGAGGCTCAGAGATCAGTTGAAGAAGCTACGGTCAAAGCAGTCAAACCAAGAGGTGCGGACCACGCGGACCTCCCCTCTTCTTCTTTTTCTGAATTGCCATCAGTATTTTGCTCTGCATATGTGGGAGTTTGCGTGTGAGAGAATGGAGGGGAGGGGGGGGGGTGACGAAGAGATGAGAAGGGAAAGAGAGAGGGAGAGGGCAGCAGGAGAAAGAGAGGGAAGGAACAAGACAAAGAGAGACAGAGAGAGACAGAGAGAAAAAGGGGCAGAGGAAAGGGAGGAGGGGGGGGGGGTTGCGGGGCGCAGGGGGGCGGGGGGTCATTGTGAGAGAGCGATAGAAGAGAATTAGAGAGAAGAGATTTATTGGCATGGATGCCTGGCTGTCCTTAGCACCCACATACCCACAAACGGCGGTCTCACACTCACATGCTTTTGGTGTGTGTGTGTGTGTGTGTGTGTTTAACTAACCATAACACTACCATGACTCGAATTGCGGTGAGTTGCGTTCAGGGAGCTTTTCACACCATTTAGAAAGACCCATACGGCAAGCCTTTGCATCACCCACACGGGGACCGTTCGAGCATCTGAACACCATCGGGTCCTTATTACCCCTTGTACCGTGATCATGGCATGCAGCAGCCTCTACCATTCACCAACCCTACCAAGACCTGAGGGTGCTAAGCCATGAGCTGTAAACCGCAGTCCAATAGGACAAGGCAACTGACAGCCAGCAACAACGCATACAACGGACAGCAAGGCAAATAACGACATCATGTCACACAGGCTGGGGGGGGGGAAGGGGGAGGCGGGCAGGCAAACAAACAGTACACAGCAAGTACTAGGGGAAGGCAGATAAAAGACAGAGAAGGAAAAGGCATGTGACACCAAGCAACAACAAAGAGCAAGGGCTGGAGGGCACGGGGGGAAGGCGGGTGGACACACAATGACATAGGACAACAAGGCATGAGATGACCAACAGCAACAAAGAACAAAGGCTGGAAGGCACAGAAGAGGCAGGAGGGCAAACGACAAAAGAACAGGAAAACCCAAAAAATGCAAGTCTAGAGAAACGGAAGACCGAAAAAATAAAAATTGATGATAACAAGATTGTTTCGTGCAACGTCAGGCAAACCCAAAAAATGCAAGTCTAGAGAAACGGAAGACCCAAAAAATAAAAATTGATGATAACAAGATTGTTTCGTCGGAGTTGCACCGACTCATCAGGAGGCTGAACCCTCTACAATCTGCGGAATCCGTATTTGATGGTTTGGGTCATGAACCCTTTGACCCTTGTTGAAGGCAGACTGTCCCCAACCAAAACATAGCAGCGGGCAGCAACCCTGTGAAGCACCAGGCAACACAGTAGAGGCAACACGGCTGCACAACGCCAAAAACGACTGCACGGAACGACATGGGATGCAGAACAGGCAGTGCAGCAACCGTGTAGTGAAGCACAAGACATCACAAGCAAGACAACCACACTGCAAAGGACGACAGGGCGCACGGATCAGCAGCTCAGCAACCGTGGAGCAAAGCACAAGGCACCAACAACAAGGCAACCAACCTACAGGGCACACAAGCGACAAAAAACACACGGAAGGCATGGCCAACGGATGAGCAGCAAGGCAGCGGAGCAGCGAAGCGCAAGGCAACACCAACAACACAGCCACACCATGCAACGAACACAGCAATTTGCAGAGAACCACATGCGAAGCCAGCGGGACAGGCAGCAAGGCACCGGCAGAGCGCAGACTAGGCAGTCCACACATCCAACACGGAGCAAAGCTGCACATGACATCACAATTGAACCCCGCAGACTGTTGGTTCCCACCACCCACTGAGCCAGGGAGTCACTCCGGCGAACATCCGTCATCACCCACAGACAACAAAGACATCCCGAACCGAGCGGTCCCCATAAGAGTGCAGTAAGCACTCCAAACGAGGAACCACCGACTGTTTGGCACTACTGAAGGGTGCTCAGTTGGGCACACAAAAAAATACTTGAGAAAAAATCAGGGGGGAGGACAGACAACAGAAGAAAGACTGACAGATATAAAACTGATTGTGTGTGTGTGTGTGTGTGTGTGTGTGTGTGTGTGTGAGAGAGAGAGAGAGAGAGAGAGAGAGACAGAGAGAGAGAGAGATTGTCATGGATGAGTGGCTTCCCTACAAGCGCACACATGCAGACCACAGGGGGATCATGCTCACACATTATCTGTGTGAGAGAGAGAAAGAGTGAGAGAAGAGGGGCACACACACACACACACACACATACACAAAGAGAGAGAGAGAGAGAGAGAGAGAGAGAGAGAGAGAGAGAGAGAGAGAGAGAGAGAGAGAAGGATAAAGGAGGAAAGAAGAGCAGAAGGAGTGGA